GGCTAATGTTTAAACCAAAAAGATAGAAGTGACATTTAACCAGATATATTCTGCCTTTCATTTGTTTTATACAGGAAACATTTTCCCCATAACAATAAGGAGGGAATATAATCCTGCAGAGAAAGATTTAGATAGGGGTGGGTGTTAAGGTGTGGGCTTTACTACATTGCAAAGAAAAATAATATCTTCATCTTATCTTCAAATAAACTGTTCCAGTATAAATGCAGTTAGCTGTGTGGGCTGCTTGTGCAGTTTTTGCTGTAACTGTGCCATTTTCATTTAGCTTATGAGTAAACTTTTCTTTTTGGGCAGGTGGAGTCTAAAGTGTATTACTCTGCAGGGAAAGATATAATAAGGTTTGGATTTATAGATTTGGGCATTTGGCTGGACATCAGTGATGCAATGGGCTTGAATAATGAATGCTATTGGCCCAGGTTGGAGTTACAATGAATTATTAACTAAAATCTCTGCTGCGTTATTTTAATCTCCCCAGTTTTATTACACCCTGGAGAAGAGTGACTCAAATTACAACACACAAACAACAGAAATGAAACAATACATTCAAGAAATGGACAATCCTCCAACCCCAAAATAAGAAAGCCATCCATAAGAAAGGCAGCCTGTCTCATTCAAGTGCTACATGTTGGTTTTCACAGACATTGATAATATTGTAAAATACCTAGCAACACCAGGTATTTGTATATAGCATTTATGATGTGAAGTATGTGTAGGTTAATATTGATGTAGGAAGCTCATGTAAATAAATATAGTATGCATGTAAATTATTTCCAGGAACCACTTTTGTCATTAATGACAGACTCGGGCTGTTTGAAAAGCAGGGGCAAAAAAATAAAATAGGCACCTGCTGCATGACATGAGGGCCCACTAGTGTGCAAAAAGCTACAATGATTGCAGTGTTTTAGCTCCTTTTGTATGACCTTCAATTTTCTTTCTCTCCTTGGTACTCTGTAGTCATAGAATAGCCCAATGCTAACCCCACCTATAAGTTCATTGAAAAAAAATTTTCACACCAAACTTTAAAGTCCTGTGGGAATTTTTTGTCAAATTACCCTAAAATATTTCCCTTAGGGAAGAATTTTTACACTTCTACTTGATTTCTTATAGTTGATTGGCATCTAAGGTAAAAAATGTGGAACAGCTATCTATACAGGCACTAACAGTGCATATGCATTAATATTTATTATTGCATCATTGGTAAAACTCAGACTTTTCAATCTCAAAGAAAGCTTGCTGTATCTTATGTCACACTGCAGTAGGATGTCAGGGTTATAGCTCAGACTGTATTAAACCCCATCTGAACATTCTAGAGGGATTGTGTCTAAAACTCAAATCTTAAATGGATGGAATAGATATTATTTTTTTATCAATGGGAGTGAGTGTTTTAAACTTTGTTGTGTCATCATTGGCAACAATTAACTTTCTCTTTTATACAGTTGTACAAATACAGTTGACCTAACATAATCTAACCTAATCTAAAAAGTGCACTGAAAAATAAAAACCAGGGACAGTGCAGATTACATCAAAATGGCAGCTAGATATTAGCTTAACTTATCGGCCCCTGGTAAAAACTCAGAAAAGATTTATCAGCCCCTGTACAACATTGAGTTCAGAAGTAAGTTCAAAAACTTATCAAAGTATTTGGCAGCACCCCTAGACTGTCATCATGGCATGTATTTTCAGAAAGCCTGCCCTAGAGGGCACTGCATCTTGTTTTCTTCTCTCCATTGCAAGGGCACTAAAAGGACTATTTATGAGTTTTCCATCAGAAAGGCACCTGTAGGGATTATCCCATTGTGAGGGCATCTATATAAAATACAAGATTCTATATATGATATGAGATTTCTCTGAAATTTGTCTTGCATCACAGTGGCTCCATGGGGCCAGCAGGTGGGGGGTGACTTTCACAAACAGTCAGACAAACACAAACATCTTACAATAAACCACAACAATCAGCAAATCCTACTATACTCCCCACTACACATAATACTGCACAATGGGTTATACATGTTACTGCATGTGTGCTAATCTAAATAATTGTGTAATAGTTGGTTTAGTTTTTCCATTGGAAGGGCACCCATAGGGAACATCACGTTTAGACTATTGTATGGGCACCATATAGGGCACTGCATCATGCTTTCTCCACTAGAAGGGCTCTTATTCAAACACGTTATCAAATTTTCTTGTCTAGATGGCACATTATCTTCACTTATTGCATGAAGGGGCACTTTAGAGGGCATGCAATCATTTTTTACAATGTAAACGGCAGCCAATAGGGCACTTCTTCTCATTTTCCACTCTAGAGGGCACTTTAGCAATGCTTTTTCAACCATGGGGACACCCCCCAGGAGTCTGTCAGTGTTCACCTGCATGGACACATAACAGGAAAAAGAGCAATGTACAGTTGTATGCAAAAGTTTGAACACACAATCAAACGTTTTGTTAATTTTCTAAGTGAAAATAAGTTAACACATCCTCTACAGTGAAGATAAAAATGCTGTTTTTCTGCAAATGTTAGTGCACAATTTCTTGCAAGTTTAACATATTGGGAAAAAAATAAATGTAAAATGTGCTAAAGAAGTTTTGCACAGGCCACAGTTTATATTTAATTTTTCCCCCAGATATGTTAAATTCAGCAGATAAACAGTACTTATGCGATACAATGTGATAAATGATAGAAAATTAACAAAACGTGACATTTGGCCAGGGGTGCCCAAACTTTTCCACACGATGGTGCCTCAGTGAGCCGCGCGCTTTCGTTGGTCTCCACTAGAGGGCGACTCTGACTAGCGTTATCACTGATCTCAATGAACTGAGGATCATCATTCTGTGCTCAACTTTTTATTACTAAGCATCTTTAACACATTAAAGGAGCTAAAATCACCAGATCAGAGACTGTTTTACACTCACTGACTCAAAGTATCGTTTATCTGTTAATACCTCTAGAAACGTTTGTGCTGCTGAAGTCGGCTGTTGTCTTTATTCTCCCCAGTTCCCTCTCTGTCTGTCTGTCTGTCTGTCTCTCACTAATAATCTCGCTCTCTCTTTTCGTATGTAGAGTACGTCTGAGTAGGAACCAGTAGCCAATCCCAAGAGAGCGTGGCTTGTCGGATTATGAATAAAACATGTGGGTGATTAGTTTCAGAGGAGCTAAAGAGTGAGAATCCCACAGAAACCAGAGTTCAAGCCAAATCGAGCTTTATTTGCATGCATGTTGATTTTCAGCTTTTCTGATTAATTCAAAGGACAAGAGAAGTTTAACTGGAAACATAGGTGTCAGTTATCGTTTAACTGTCCAATTAGAGTTGCTTTTTCTTTCCAAAGCAAACGAACAGAATATACTAGACTTAAACATCTCTGACCTAATCATTACTGCTCTGACCTGAACACGTACAACCAAAAAAGTTACAGAAGTTTGTGACCTTCTGTTCCTGCGTGTTGCTTTAGACTATAATACGTTGATTTTAATATTTCATGCTTCAAAGTACATTTCTTTGAATTGTTATAATAAACCATAGTTAATTTGTTTCATAAGTTCATGTAATAGTGTTAAAGTTCTGTGGCAGGCTGTGGTAATTTAAGACATTTATGACCAGAAGGGGCAGCACTGTGGAAGCTACTTTAGTTTAGACCTGCACTGACCCATACAAACTCAACTCAGCAATAAAGGAGCTGGATTCTCCTCCTGATGGTTTGAGCAGCTTTTAGTTTGTTCTTGGTGGAGGGAGTGAAGACATTTGTCAACAGGTCAACAGAGTTTTTCCCGTGTCTAAAAGCCACTGGAAATTCAGCCTGTACTTGAGAAATTGCTTCACATTCTAATGGGCGAACGAGTGAGTGAATGAGTGAATGAGTGAACGAGTAAACGAATGAATTAAGCGCTAACTGGATGGTTTGGATGGATGAGATATGTAAGACTACGCCAGATTCCTGCGCAGTGAAAGACTAAGTTAAATCACTGTCTATTCTTACTGTTTGATTTCCTTCCGCAGTCAGATTTATTCATTTATTGAGCTGCAAATTAAATGTGTGGAAAGTGCTATAGAATACATATTATTATTATTATTATTATTATTATTATTATTAGTAGTAGTAGTAGTAGTAGTGGTAGTAATAATAATAATAATAATAATAATAATAATAATAATAATAATAATTTGGATTAAAATCATTTAATTCCAGTTTTCACTGAAGCACATCTGTGATGTTTTGACTGCAGTGTCTCTTTTGTGCAGCTGGTTTTATTTGTGTGGTCTGTTGGCTGCAGGATGTAGAAATATGAACTGATGCTCTTCTGAAGACTTTTTTTTCTTCTCCACTCAGCCATATTTCACTGTCAGCACTTCCTGCTGGATTACTGATCAAAAGCCTCTATTTGTAGATCATGAATCGCAGTGAAACGTTATTATAGGCTTAAATTAAACGGATATTACTGTCCAAATCTCCAACACTGCTCTACCTTTCCTTCCTCACTTCTTTCGTCCTTCTTTAAAAAGAATAGACATTAAAAAACACGAAACTTGTCCTCTTTCTTTTCTTTCTTTCTTTTGCTTCCTTCCTTGTTTTCTTTGTTTCTTTATTTATTTCGTTTTTGCTTTCTCTCAATTTTTTTCCTATGTTCTTTTTTCCATCGTTCTTTCTTTCTTTCTTTCTTTCTTTGAAAAGTATACAAGAATGAATAATACTAAGTTTTGTGTCGTTTCTTTTTCTTTTTTCTTTCTTTAATTTAATTTCATTAATAAATCTCTGAGATTGTAACAGCGGAGTTCTTCATGATTTTTGTATCTGCTGTTCTCCTCCTCCTCTCAGTACGGAGTCTGAAGGTCTGTTTAGAGGTGGGAGGTGCTCCGCGGCTCGGCGGGGCTATTTAAACCCCCCTCAGAGCAGGAGCAGCAGTAGCAGTAGAGTGCGTTTCTCTGTTTATCCTCCTTACCTCTTCACTCCACTCTGGTAAAAGTCGGAGAGTCGTTGTGCGCGCGGAGATGTTTGTGGAGGGAGAGCGGATCATGAGCGCCTTCGGTCAGCAGGCCGCGGGACAGCAGGCCGGTCACGGCGCGCAGGACGTGCTGGACGTAGCCGTTTACTGCGACAACTTCAGCGCCTACCAGCACCACCATCACCACCACCACCACCACCATCAGCAACAGCAGCAGCAGCAGCACGCCGTGCACGCGACCGGCTACGGCCTCGGCGAGTACGCGCCCACGACCACCGGTTCCAACGCCACCAACTCCGCCGCCGCCTCCAACCCGTACCTGTGGCTGAACGGGCCGAGCATCAGCCCCTCTCCGTACCCGTACCTGCAGGCGGGCTACGGCGCGGGACAGCGGCAGCTCGTTGCGCCCCCTACCGGCTTCGCGGGCGCAGAACTCGGCTGGCTGTCCGTGTCGAGCCAGCAGGAGCTGTTCAAGCTGGTGCGCCCGCCTTACTCCTACTCGGCCCTCATCGCCATGGCCATCCAGAGCGCGCGCGACAAGAAGCTCACGCTCAGCCAGATCTACCAGTACGTGGCCGAGAACTTCCCGTTTTACAAGAGGAGCAAAGCGGGCTGGCAGAACTCCATCAGACACAACCTGTCCCTCAACGACTGCTTTAAGAAGGTGGCCCGCGACGAGGACGACCCAGGTGGGCGCACTCTCCGACTACTTTCTTTTCTTTCTTTCCTGCATGTGTCTTCCTTTTCTGTTTGTTTAAACCCATTCATTTTATTTCATTTCACAAATGCCTGTTTATGGTAGATTCAGGTCCTACATGGGCCATCGGCATATTGGACGTTAGGCCAGTGTGGTGGGCTCCTGTCATAGCTTAGCTGAATGACAGTCATTCTATTATTGAGTTTCTCATTACAGTTGCTTTCTTTTGCTCATTTAGAGACACTAGTAGCATAAACATCAGCTTCCATTAGCCCTACTATCAACACTAGCGCTCAACAGTTTGCTGTCATTTTATTCCATAACTCACGTAGTGTAAATTGAAATCCTGTAAGCCAGACACCAGAAAGTAATTCAAGATGTTTTATTCAATATTTCAACTTTTTTTGGAGTCACTAACTGTAATTATTTATTTATATAATTTATTGATAATGCATCTGCCTTAGATCTGATCACGAAGGTTTTACTTTTTTCAGTAAAATCCTTGTGATCATAATATATATATATATAATACTTCATTCTCAGTGTTTTATAGCTTTCCTCTACAGCTCTGTTCATCATTCTGGACTCATCTACACTGTAAAAAACAGCTCGTCAATTCAACCTAAAATACTTAATGTAGTAAAAAAAGTAAATTAACCAGTTTTATTCAACATAAAGAAACACTTTGAATGAACGATTCTTTCAATCTGTAATTTTTTGAGTTGAATAAAACTTTACTTGTTACTACAAGACTGAACTGAGGAGCCATTTTTACAGTGTACAATCCCTTCATTTGACAGTGTCCCGCTAAATAGCTGAAAAGTGTGTTGTAGAGTAGAAGAGTTTTGACCTCTGACCTTTTAATAGTGATTCCAAACTTTTAAACTTGCAGCTCGGTTTATTTATTTATTTACTTACTTGCTTGTTCATTTAATCTAGTTCAGTTTTTTCTAACACTCATAGTTCTGCTGATTCCACAAAGCATTGACTGATAGAATTGATTGATTGATTGATTGATTGATTGATTGATTTGCAGGTAAGGGAAACTACTGGACTCTGGATCCCAACTGCGAGAAAATGTTTGACAACGGTAACTTCCGGCGGAAGAGGAAGCGCAGGGCGGACGCGGTCAAAACAGAAGTTGCTCCCTCGGATACCCGCCCCGGCGGCGCGAGCGCGACCCCGTCTCCGCGCGGCCTCGGTACATCTCCCGCCGCGAGCGAGCCGCGCTCTCCCCCGTCCCCGGAGCTCAGCCCCTGCTTCGACAGCTTCGTGAGCCACGTGAACTCTGTTTTGGTCGGAAACGGCGAAAGCGCGCGGGGCGGACCTGGCGCGCGCTCTCCTGCGCTCGGCCACGGCAGGCTGAGCTATTACACGAGCGCGGGCGGCTTCAGCAGCTCAGTGTCCAACCACTTCAGCGTGGACAGTTTAATATACAACCGCGAGGGAACGGAGGTCTGAGCGCGGGCTTCTCCCACCTGTATTGACTGTCACATATTGAGCCACTAATGTTCCGATGGAACGCTTTAGAAGTCGTTCGCGTCACCATAGCAACCAGGGAACACTAGAACTTGAAGCGTTGGAGGTGTTCCTTTCCCCCCCACCCATATTCTGACAAATCATGCCAGTCCTGCTCTGGGATTGGTCACTACACTCTTCAAAAAGATGGTTCTTTAGTGAAGACAGTGGTTCTGTATGGAACCATGAACAGAACCATTGAATGATTAAAGGGTTCTTTGCATGGTGAAATGGTTCTTCAGATTGATGAAGAATGTGTTGTGTATTGAAAATTCTTTTATATAAGGGTTCTTCTGATGTTACAAGCTGGACCCTTTTTGGTGCTATCTAGAACCACGTACAACACATTCTCCATAAATCTGAAGAACTATTTCACCATGCAAAGAACCGTTTAAGCATCAGATGGTTCTGTGGGTGTTCAATGTTCTAGATAGAACAATCATATTTACTAAAGAACCCTTGGAAAATGAGTTCCAAGGGTTCTTTAGAGTTACACTCTTTTTAGGAGTGTAATATTCCGCGTCCTGTTCAGGGATTGGTTAGTGAATTTGTAGCTACTCAAGAGAAGCTCACGTGACCATAACAACCATTAGAAACTGGGAAGCTTCAGAAGCGTAACTTTTCCCCCACCCGTATTGCGGATACGGCGGGTGTTGTCGGAATACAGGTGGGAAGAAGAAAGACTGTAGTGAGAACTGAATCAGACACACTGCGCTCTGTGAGCGCACATATTATATTTCCAGCATTATTTGTTATATCGTTTTGTTTTGATACAGTTGTTTAACACAATACTAAACAATTGCACTGTCATGTTTTTATACACGTATTTTTCAAGTGTTAAATAGGCTACACAGAATTGTCAATTTAGACCCACAAAGCATATTTTAACTGGCTCACACCTGTCACACACGCACGCCCTGTTCAGTGTCCGAAATCTGCATCATTTTGCTAACTTTTGTCTGTAGATGGATGTTGATATATTTTTATTTAATGAATCGTTCATAATTTTGTAAATAAAACTGTGTTGTAAAATCAGTAGTGGAGTGGATTTCATGCATGAAAAGAAAATGTTGCCATCATCTGCTTCCGAACCTTCAACCTACTTTTATTAAAACTACACACATTGTTCCAAACGCTAACAGCAATTATTAGCATTAATAATCATTCAAATCAATCCCTTTGGATCATTATGTCTATAAACCCACCCTGTAAAAGTGTGCAGCGATGGTCATTTTGCAGCTAAACCTCCTTTTGTTTGTATTCCTGTTTAATTTTCTGTTTATTTGTTTGAATATGTGTGTAAGGGAGCCCCAGCTCCAGAGAGCCCCCCACCCCGTACCCCTGTCCCGTTCCAGCCTCATCTCATGCTCAGCAGCTCCATCGAGTTGACGTTTATTTATAAGAAGAATTTCGGGATTAATCGAGCGTCCGCGTTAATCCGCGCTCCCGCTGCGCGCCCCCGCTGCGCGCTCCCCTAATTGAGCTCCACGTTTAACCCTTAAATTCCCTTTGTCCATCCTAGTTTACCCCTCTGAAGCGGGACTGGGCAGTGCCTCACTGTCTTTTTCATCTTCAGCAATGACCTTGATATTTTCAACCGTTTATTTTACATTTATTTTTCTTTTCCTTTTCCAGTGAAATTCTTAATGCTTTAATTACTGGGGCGGGTGGGGGTGGGGGGGCTCCATTAACTCGTGTCCCGCGTGAGCAGCATGAAAACAGTAGGTGAGACTCGAGCATTTTCCGCTTGTCGCTTTGAATCCGGCCGATTGTAACGAGCTAGCGCGGGTTTACAGCCCAGGAGTTCAGAAGTTCAGCCCTTTATTTTATTTATTTATTTATTTCTCCTCGGCCTGACGGTGCAGAGAAGATTTGTTCTCTTTCTGCAGGTCAGCTGTCCCTCTCTGCACAGTTTTTACTGCCCAGCTGTTTCCGTTTATGTTCCAGCAGCGCAGGACACTGTTGCTGTGTTGCTGTGAGAAAGTGGGGCGAAGCTCTTCAGGGTGGGTTTATGTGTGCGGGACACTTTGTGGCCCATCCCGTCCTGCAGGGGGGCAAAAACAAGAGAAATGTTGTTCCCGGTCCGTCCCAGGAAACAAAAAAGAACAATCGAGTTAGTCCAGTCCAGCGGCCCCTCATCGCCTCATACGGCCCAGAGGACCAATCTCGCATCAAAGCGAGGGAGCAGAAGGAAACACCTCGTAATTGGAGCAGAGCTGAAGCTGAGCGGCTCCTCCAGAGAGACTGGTGCAGCCCGGAGACCCCGGATTTCATATCCCACAGAGGAGCGCAGTGGACACAGCATCGCAGCCATTCTCCTATAAATATGAAGGAGGAATAGATAGAAATATTCTGAGAGTCTAAACTTTAAAATAAAAAATAAATAAATAAATAAATAATAAAAAAGTCTTAAAAAGGTCTAAAATAAGAAATAAAAAAGGTCTAGAATAAAATAAGAAAAAGGCTCAAATGAATAAGCTAAAGAAAATTGAGCTCTAAAATGTTTATGCAGACTTCAGATTTAGGACACAGAATTAAGTTTTCTTCTCCACATTTCGCTGCTCACCAGCCTCCAACAAACTCCTAAAAAAGAAAAGAAAAAGACTGAAACTGACGATTAACTCCAATAAACTGTTTAGAAAATTTGGTAAGTGTGGCTTATCGGTTTCTATTAATTTGCATAATCTATTGTTCTTTACATTCCCATCTTACATCTTCTTTAAATTCCCTAACGAAACTGTATAATAAGTGGAAACCGGCTTATATCGGACTCAAAGTGCGCACGTTAGAAATCCTTCTACCTTCCACTGTTTGCTTTAGTTTAGATTTATTTATTTTAAACTCGAAATACTCTCAAAGAAACGCTTAATGTTATATCTGTTGATTCACATCATCAAATAGAGAGTTTTGGGTAATTGCTTATTTAAGCTGATTACAGTCATACGCAAAGGTTTGGTCACCCCTAGGCAAACCACCGGTTTTGTTGATTTTCTAAGTGAACATAAGTTAACACAGCCTAGAACAGATTTCTGCACATATTAATGCACAATTTAACACATTAAAAATATAAAACATAAAATGTGGCCTATGCAAAAGATATATGTGTTAAACTCAGCAAATCAATAGAAACACTAAAATCTGCAGAAAAAAAAGTTAAAAGTAGCTGTTTTCTGTAGAGGAACTGTTTCTTACTTAGAAAATCAAGAAAATATAATTTAACCTGGGGTGTTCAAACTTTTGCATACAGTTGTAAATTGTTAGTTAAATATTTTATATGATTTTAACCTCATATTTAAAAAAATACAATATCTGTTTTTTGCTATATGTCCTGCTTTGAGGGCTTTGAAAACTTATATTGATAAGAAAATAATTAATTACCAGAGCCCTTAATTTGAAATTTATCTATAAGTGGTAAAAAATAGACTCATAGTTCATTCGCTGCTGATTTTGCTGTGTACACTCAGTGGGGATGGAGTAATGTGAGGTAATGAAATTGTCCAGCTCCTGTTCCACACAAACCCTGGCAGACTGACCACTCAGGGCCTGAGGCCCTGTGCCTCCCCATCCCACTGTGGGGCAGGGATCAGTCGTTGTTGTCCTGCCTGGGGGTCCTGAGTGGTGGTCTTGCTTCGTCCCTCACTCCTGTGAGCTAAGACGTTAATGAGGGGTTTCAGGCTCTCCTGAACCCCACAGAGCCCCAAACCTCAGGATCTGCTCCTGCTTAAAAGCATGAGTTTAGTGTGGGCTTGTTCTGAACTCAGCTAATCCTGGTTCCCACAGCAGTAAAAGGAAATATCATTGTCCTTTGACACCTGCTACCTGATCCTGACCCTACAGCACCCAGAATGGGGAGGTTTTTGGAAGAGTTGGTTTGGTGTGTTTAGTGCATTCTTGCCATGCAGAAAAACTGCATTCTTTAAGACTGGTGATGTAATACAGGCCTATTAAACACAGCTATTAAAACCTGTTATCAAAGACATTTAAGAAGACATTATAGGTTTCTTATGGGCTGCTCAAGTTTCACAGGTTTCCATGCTTTAAGTAGTGTAAGTATTATAAGATCCGTGCAGGTTTCCATTAAATTCACAACAAACTGAATTTATTATATTCTGAAAAAAGTTTAGGCCATCTGGGAAAATGAGATGTAAAGCCATTTATTTGGCTTTTTTTCAAAAAAAAACACCAACTAACTAGGATAAATACAAATAAACAATGCATGAATATTTACCATTACCAAAGCTCTCCTCGAATAGGTCCAGCATTTACAGTTACTATCCAAAACCTACTTTATCTAATCAATCCTTCATTAAATTAAATCAGTTTCTGCTAATGGAATTTAACAAATCCTCCTTTTCTTCTCTTGGGCTCCCAGTTATGGTTGGCTGTGGTATTACTGTGGTTCAAGCTAAGGATTGCATGGTGTTGGAGTGAATGCTTAGACGGTTGCACCGCCAGTAGCTCATGAAGTCAAGTTCCTGTGTCCTTAAATGTTCAACTCACTGTAAAAAATAGTTCTTGTTTTAAATTGTAATATATCACTATAAAAATCCAAGGTAAATGTGTTGGCCTATGTAACGTTTTTTTTCTTTGCTGCTTGAACAACGAATTAGAAAAGTGGTTAAAATTTTACATAAAATATAAAATAGTTAGAAAACTTCAATTATTTGTGATTGACCTAAAATTTTGAGTTAACTGAATGTCAAATAGTTTATTAACAGAACAACAATATGTATATTGTTCTGAAAACTTATCAGATGTTTAATCAGCTTAAAACAACAAATATTTTAACAGTACCTTTAATCTGATGTTATATAATGTTTTACTGGCAAAAGTACACTTAAACAATTATTAAACAATTTATTACTGTGCTTACTGGCAGCAGCCTCAACCCACTTTGGCACATGCAGTTTGCTACTTCAGCTCATATGTTAAGTTTATGTGTT